CTCCCTCTTTCCATTAAAATTATAATAAGTGGGGAAAAGCACCCATAACAAAAAGAACATAAAAGTTGTCCATATGATTTATGCTCTATATTCTTATGCACTTATATTCTTATGTCTGTATTTGTGTCCTTCTGAAGTAAGTCATAAGGTAGCTTTCTTTGACGAGCTGACTAAAATTCCTTTCTCCACGGAAGATAGAAAGTCATACAGGTTTGGAATAACATGAAACTGTGTAAATAATGACACAGTTTTCATTTTCATTTGAACTATTCCTGTTTTCTCTGGTCAGGAAAGAGCGGCCCTGTCTCTCCGTTCACCCTGCAAGGTCTCCTGCCCAAATCCACAGAGAAGTACTTCATCTATAACGGCTCTCTGACCACCCCTCCCTGCTCTGAGACCGTGGAGTGGATCGTCTTTAAAAACACGGTGACCATCTCAGATGTTCAGGTCAGTATAATGGACAGTTTTAGAGCAGTGACCTGCTAGCATATATTTCTGGAATTGCATGTGTTATATACAGATTTAAAGGGACCGTTTACCCAAAAATGAACAGTCTGTCATTATTTAAGGCTTTCAAGCTTCAAAAAGGGCACAAAAGCATCATTAAAGTGGTCCATACACCATATTCCAGGTCTTCTGAAGGCATCTTGACATATGTCCAAACTTTCTTTGTATTGACTACTTTTATGATACTTTTATTTTGATGTATTACAAGTATTACAACTGCTTGGAAAAGAGTGGCCAGCACATTATTTAAAATTTCCATTTGATGTTAAAGAAAGCCAAGAAAGCCATAAAGGTTTGGAACAACATTTTTGGGTGACCTCTTAATTAAGGCTCTGACACACAGCAGACGACAAACAGTGGAGACAGACTCTGTTATTGAGCTCCATGTGCCGACAGATTGAAAGATGAGGTCAAAATGAGACAAAAACACTGCTGATAACAATTGCTTAAAGGGGTCATACGATGCTGCTAAAAAGAACATTATTTTGTGTATTTGGTGTAATGAAATGTTTATGCGGTTTAAGGTTAAAAAAACACATTA